TCAGTCTTTGTCATATTGAAGTTAGATATCATTGCTCAAAAAAAAAAAATTCCATTAAGTCGCTTGGCACAAAAAATTTTGTTGATATGCTTGAAGTTATAATATAAGAAGAAAAAAGTCTCACCTATCTTCTAGTAATCTTTGTAATGATCTAAAATGTTGACTAAGACTTAATGTAGTCATATTACCAAAGTTAGTTTCACTTAATTCTAATAATCTCTCAGTAAGTTTAGTAGCGTCCTAAAATATAACATTCAAAAATTAAGAGAAGTCCTTTGCTGACCTTGATCTTGCAAGTGTAGTGCTTACTCTCTCCTCAAGACACCCATCTTTGTGAGATTTCACTTTACATCCAACTAACCCAAGACAATTTGCTTTGCCATTCAAATCAATATTGAATAATCCAGTATGGCTCTTAGACTCATTTTCTGTCTAACCTGAACCTTTGGATTGAGTTAGGTACATGCCACATTTCTCACAATGGTGGAATAAAAGTAAGAGGAATGTTAGCTTCTATCATCCAGTCTATCTTTGTCTATGCACAGCTTCAATGAACCTCTCTTTTCCTCTTACACAAAAGTTTGAGTGTCAGAGACTATAGGAATGTCAGCGAAAAGTTTCTCTATGTATATGACTACAAAAAAAAAAACAACACAAAACACAACGTACTTGAATAAACTTGTGCAGGTCTGCTCTAGCAGCTCTAAAAAGAAAATGATATCAAGTCATATAATATATGTATATTTCTTGTAAGAATTGATATTTATTATATATCAAAAACTAACACAAGTTACATCTGTTTTTAGACTAAATAATCTCATATCTCCACAGAGAGCTAAGCTCTTGTCAACAAAATAAAGTTTATGGTGATAGAGCTAAATCTTAACCAAAGTTTCCAAGCTGTTATTTTCCAATACATTCATTACTGATAGCCTTGATAATAGCCAAGCAACTTAGGTTTAACCTGTCCTGCCTTTCTAATCAATTATTCTCATTCAGGGATCCAGGGATCCAGGGATAGTTGAATTCTATCAATCTGTGATGCAAATCTAACAACAATATCTAACAAAAGAACCTCACTTACTTGGCAGTCGCAAATATTTCTTTACATCTTTTTACTCTCATTGAATAAGATGACTAAAAAAAAAATACGAATACACTGACAACAATTATCTAGATTGTGACATAACAACAATGAACCACCATTGAACTCATATGTTAGAATAGGCCATGGATTTTGTTATGCCCTAAACTGTAGTATGTAACAGTATAAGTATATCAAGTCAATGTACACTATGAACTTTATAATACAAGACACTTGGCATATCATACATCTTGGCAGAATAACACAATAGTCTCAGTTGACAGAAACACAGATAAAACAAAAAGCTTTCACTCAATATGACATACACACATTTTATGTTTTAAGTGGGTGTTTCAGATCTAAACTACCCACAAAATTCAGATTGTTAGTACTTGAAGAACAAATGACAGCAAAATCAATGAAAATAGATTGCCATGCAAGGTAATATACGCCCACTGGCAGCTTTGATTTTAAATAAAAATATTTGGCAGTACAGTAACAATCACCAGTATGAAATATTCAACCTTCAGACATACACTTCTTTTGAACTTGTGAGGCGATAATGAATAATATTACCAAGTTTCTTCAAAATCTGGCAAGAATTATACCTTCTAGAGTGTTTGCCGGCTAAAAATTGAACGCGTTTTCAGGAACAAAGGCAATAACTCATACTTAATATTTTTCGATTCTTTTTATATTCAATAGGGTTCATCTTTGGTTGATAACAAACACTCATGCCAAATTGTGTCATAATCCATGAGGAATTGTGCCTTTTACAGTGTTTGCCAGCTTAAAATTGAATGTGTTTTTCAAGAACAAGGGCAATAACTCATACTTGGGTGATTACAAACAATCATACCAAGTTGTAGTTGTAGTCTTATAGAGTGTTTACGAGCAATTGTGGACGGGTCGACGGACAATTTCTCAGATAAGAGTAGGCCCACCTAGACCTCATTTCAAAATCACAATTAATTCCTGATGAATCAAGTTTAAATGTAGTATGTTACCTTGGATACCGACATCAACATCCAGATAGCTTGTTTAGGAAATGTTACTAATAATTTAGCTATAACATCCTGAAATATATCAAAATAATATATAATTTTGGCTATGAAAGAATTTTTTGTACAGAAATATACAAACAATAGATCAATTAGTACATATGGAGATCACACTTTTTCCACAAACATATAATTGTACACTAAGATATCACCTAATTTTTTGATTAGGTCAAACACAGCAAATCTATCCAAGACATATCCTTTAATAAAACTTGTCAAAGACCAAGCAGATGTTTGAATCAAAAGTAATAAACAAACCTGTAATTGTTTAAAGACATCAGGATGAGCATGACAGATTCTAGATATCAGTTGAGGAAAGGCTGTAAAAAACTGGTATTCAGCTAATGTATTAATCAATCCTTCTATAGTCTGAAAACATATCAGCATCAACATTTCAAAATTTTCATTGCTTTCTGTCTAGCTCCTATTAAGTAAGATTTAAGCGACATATATAGAAGCGAGGAGCACACAGAACAAAACACAAGACAATATTATAGAATATAATGCACTTATTACGCTATTAAGTAAGTCAGAAAATGAGGATTGGCTGAAAAGTTCTTCAATCTCAATCGTAGAGAGTAGGCAGTTTTCTAGATGTTTCAAATTCAAAATAAATTTTTAACCAACAAAGTCAAAGTCAATATAATTTGGTAAAAATGCTCCAAGATGGTGTCTTGGGAAATGGTTTTATTGCATGATTAGTTGAGAAACAAGATAAAATAAAAATACCAAGTTTACCTTGTTTAATCTATTAAGTACCACACTATTAGCTTGTACTTTATGTGATGATCTACCACCTCTATCTTTCCTCTCAGCTTCAACAACTGTCGTACCAAAATCTAACCATAAACTTAGCAATCTGGGCATAGACTGATAAATATACTGACAACCGTATTGTAATGATTGACCAAAATATTTCACTACATGCAAGATGAACTCTCTGAAAAAAAAAGAACACTTTTCTTTCTCAAAAGTGCAATTATGCCCAGAACATTGAGGTATGTCTAATTTAACATAATTCCTTCCAATAGCTTCCAATTCCAATGCAATGATTTGTGAATCCAATTAATTTGATCCTCCATCTTGTTAACGGAAATTTAAATTGGGGGAACTTGATTGAAGAGTTCTGAACAGATTCTGTCTGTTACAATTCTATCCCCAATCAAATGGTATGAGAGCAGATATGTCACATTCAAAATTTTCCCATCTATTTCTTCTCCTTCATTTTGAATTCTTTCTGCACCTTCTATTTGCAACTTGTTTTATTGAATGTTCTGTTGATTCCATAAATCCCAATCGAGTTGCCCCTTTTTTTTTTTCACATTCTTACCCTTGTTTATCAGGCCTATCTTTATCATCTATTAATGTAGTCATTATCTTATCATAATAGTTAGCCAGGTAAAAATGACCATCTTCCCAGTTAGGTAATACATCTATTACATCTTTATATTGTTTAACTATAGAATTACTTTCCATACTGGATGTTTCCTCACTATATCTACCATATAATAACTGAACCTAAAATAACAAGTTTCTTTACTATATCTACCATATAATAACTGAACCTAAAATAACAAGTCTCTTTACTATATCTACTATATAATAACTGAACCTAAAATAACAAGTCTCTTTACTATATCTACCATATAATAACTGAACCTAAAATAACAAGTCTCTTTACTATATCTACCATATAATAACTGAACCTAAAATAACAAGTCTCTTTACTATATCTACCATATAATAACTGAACCTAAAATAACAAGTCTCTTTACTATATCTACCATATAATAACTGAACCTAAAATAACAAGTCTCTTTACTATATCTACCATATAATAACTGAACCTAAAATAACAAGTCTCTTTACTATATCTACCATATAATAACTGAACCTAAAATAACAAGTCTCTTTACTATATCTACTATATAATAACTGAACCTAAAATAACAAGTCTCTTCACTATATCTACCATATAATAACTGAACCTAAAATAACAAGTTTCTTTAATATATCTACCATATAATAACTGAACCTAAAATAACAAGTCTCTTTAATATATCTACCATATAATAACTGAACCTAAAATCACAAATTTCTTCACTATATCTATCATAAAACATCTGAACCCAAAATAACAAGTCTCTTTAATATATCTACCATATAATAACTGAACCTAAAATAACAAGTCTCTTTACTATATCCATCATTTAACAACTGAACCCAAAATAACAAGTCCCTTTATCATATCCATCATATAACAACGGAACCTAAAATAACAAGTCTCTTTACTATATCTATCACATAATAACTGAACCCAAAATAACAAGTCTCTTTAATATATCTACCATATAATAACTGAACCTAAAATAACAAGTCTCTTTACTATATCCATCATTTAACAACTGAACCCAAAATAACAAGTCTCTTCACTATATCTTCCATATAATAACTGAACCTAAAATCACAAATTTCTTCACTATATCTATCATAAAACAACTGAACCCAAAATAACAAGTCTCTTTAATATATCTACCATATAATAACTGAACCTAAAATAACAAGTCTCTTTACTATATCCATCATTTAACAACTGAACCCAAAATAACAAGTCCCTTTATCATATCCATCATATAACAACGGAACCTAAAATAACAAGTCTCTTTACTATATGTACCATATAATAACTGAACCTAAAATAACAAGTCTCTTTATTATATCCATTGCATAATAACTGAACCTAAAATAACAAGTCTCTTTACTATATATACCATATAATAACTGAACCTAAAATAACAAGTCTCTTTACTATATATACCATATAATAACTTAACCTATAATAACAAGTCTCTTCACTATATATACCATATAATAACTTAACCTATAATAACAGTTCTCTTTACTATATCTATCATAAAATAACTGAACCTAAAATAACAAGTCGCTTTACTATATATACCATATAATAACTGAACCTAAAATAACAAGTCATGCATATTGTCATCTTAAATAGTGAGTAAAACTTACTACAAATTACCATAAAACATACTTATATGTATGTTATACTGATAACACAAATCATATGTACACACCAACATATTTGCACAGAAAAAAACTCTAAACTTTGCTTAGCTAGGACTAACCTTTGCTTTGTAATAAATCCATTGCCCCTACCAGTAAATACCCCTTTAACTTACCTTAGCATAAACCTCTCTTCGGATTTTCCCTTGTTCACTGTTATCTTTCTTCAGTTTAACAATATCACTGAAATGTTCTTTATTTCCTTTCTCTAAACACATCAATGCTGCATCGTTATTTCCTTTCTCCCATAGCCATTTAGCTTTCTCTATTGCAAAATCAGGTAGATTGAATTCTCCAGCATGTATCAAACAACTGTAGGCAGTTTGGAAATAACCTGCTCTAAAATTTAAGTTAAGCAATAAGTTAAGACCCTCAGTGTACCTTATTTTTTAGTTAGCCCATAGAGTTATATATCTATATATAATTCTATGTTCTTGGAAATAATAATAATAATAATAATGAGGCGCACATTTTTGAATAAAATATTTGTAAAACAGAGTTTAAAAGTAAAGCCAAGTCAAATCACTGATTAAAAACCTTTTTAAAATAGTACTATTAAATCAGAACATTTCTTTTCTGACTTATATTTGAAATTTGCATTCATAAAATGGCATATTTTTCAGGGTAAATAGAACATCTAAAATTAACCAGGTCATGGAGTCACTTTTGCAAATACCATTTAAGCAAAGAGACGTCACAATTTCATAGAGGAAATTATGCAAAAGAGAAAGAGAAGCTATAAGTGTTCCAAAGCTAGAAAACATCTTCAACATCTCTCTTAATGTCTTACTTTCTGGCAACTTTAGCACTGCGAAGCCACCATTGTCCTATTTGTGTATCAATGTTGTCAGGTCTGTCAATATCAACCAAAGAGAACAATGTACGACGTATTGTTAATATTGGTTCTTGAGTTCTGAATGATGCCTGCAAAAGAGTTATTTAAAATCATCTATTAGTATCTTAGTGATTCATGCCACTATTAAGAATTGCAGCAACCTAAAACCTGTTATCAGTGAGGCTTAAGGAGATTAAGCAAAAAGGTTAAAAGGCTGTTTTAGTGGTCACGGAAATAGCTTTGTTTGGAATTGTGGAGTTTAAGTTTAATAAAAGGTTTAGATTGAGATTCAGCAAAATGCTAACATGATATGGAACTGGTGCTTGCACCTATCCCAGTGGTGCCCAATTGCACCCCCAGATCCCACTTAATGTCTAACAAATTTCCCCAAAATATGTGTCAAGAGAGCATAAAATCAGGGAAAAACCCTTTCCTTTCCTTTCCTGCAATTGCCTATGCTTTTCCCCAAAGTTGCTTCGTTTTGAATCTCATCCTCAACAGTTGTCCCCCAAGTCTCAGGTGGCTGTAGACATCACTGACCTATCCTAAAGACTAAGGATAAAAAGAGAGATTAAATACCTGTGCAGTAAGCAATCTAGATTCCCATTGGCTTAATAGATTAGCTTGAGATTTTCTAGAACTTGGTTCACTACCATCATCATTACCAACAGGAAAATCAAATAAAACTCTCATAGATTCTTCTATTTCATTCAACATGTGTAACCTAAAATATCATGACCTGTGTTAAACTGAAAAGCTCTCCACCATTAACGCCCTGAAGTACACATCTTTAAACAAACGTTCCGAACTTGTCTCAAAACTTAAACATGAGATATGTTTTATTTGTACAACTTCAGGAGGGATTCCGACTGAATACAGGTCAGTTGTCTGAAGATTTGATTTGATTGTTTGTAGGTTAGCGAATATGGTCAATCAAAGCCTCTCATAGACAGTCTGTGAAAACAAAGCCATAATGTTAACAGTCTTTCTGTCGATGGTTCTGATTGGTTGTATATCATTCCAATCAAATCACTGCATTATGTGATTCACGAAAGGTGGCTATTGCAGTTAAGATATAAGTAGGAAGTTAGTAATAGCTTGACATTGTAAAAATGATATAACAGAGGCATGACTTAACATTCTAATTTAACTTACCCTACAATATTCTCATAACCTCTATGATATGAACCAGTTTCCATACTAGCAGCTGATAATGGTCCCATCTGTTCACGACGTACTATTTCTAACTGCTTAATAAATTCTTCTTCATTCTAAACAACAACATTGATATAGTTCTGTTATCTTGATATTTAAACCATGCGAAATTAAGTTTTGCAATTTTTAAGTTCAGTAACACCAAACAGTGATCAATGGGGGAAATCTTGCTGTAAAAGCACTGGCATTGTCTTCAATCCTTTTACAAGTTTTAAATCCTAACGAGCTTATGATAATTTCATAAAAAATATGATAGCATGTGTTTACAAATCAACATCAGTCATATCAGTCTCTTGATGTTTAACAATGTAACATATTAATAATTGAGTTTTATTTTGTTTAAAGTATAATTCATACTAGAAATCTTACCCTATCTTTAGCTGCTAATAAAATACGTCCAACCCCTACTGGCCAGTTTCTACTATGTTTCTCCTGTAATGTAATAAATAAATGAAATGCAAAAAAAAAAAAAAAAAAAAGAAACAACCACTTTTAACAAGAATAAAAAAACTTTGGTTCACTAACTGGTCCTTGGCCAAACCTCTTGGTTTTATCAAGGTCACCATTATTACCTTATAATATCACAAAAAATTGTATAACAATGGAAAACTCGGCAAAATGTACAATAAACAATCCATACCAGATCTAAACAGCTTTTGATGAACTTGCATATATGACATTCAAGAAAAATTCTTACCATTTTCTTGAAAGTTTCCAATTTATCCCAACTACCTAATTTCCAGGCTGCCTCAACTCTATAAGCATTAAGTTGCTGTGTCCACTGAGGTCTAAAATAGTTGTTAATAAAGAACCTTATGATAATTTTGTGAATGAAAATTTGTGAGTACTTTTGGAATAATTTGAATCAAACCATTTCAAAAATAATGATTTTCAATTATTAGGAAACCATGGCATAAAAATTTCAAGGGAGATTTATTCCAAAAACAGCTTATGGAAATGTTTAAATGGTCACAATTGTTTTGAGAATTCTGGCATCAAAGAAGCACAACATTGTTTATCTAAAGGTACCTGTCCACTCTAAAACCTCCATATTGAAGTAATAGAAAAATTTTAGCTATAACACAATTAATTTTTTCCCAGTGTGATGCATCATTCATGGATCCTCTCAAAATTGTTCTTGAAAGCCAAATATAAACAAACCTTTCAGCAATGACACCAGTAGCATGTAGTAAAGCTTTATTATGTTGAGATAATTCCATTAAACTTTTTAATAAACCTTGATGATATCTTACTTCATCTGGTTCTAACTGAACAGCTCTTTCATAGCAAGCTTGAGCATCCTGTTGTTGACCTGTTAACAGTTTTAAGTCAAGGGGAAATCAGCACTATATAATATGTGAAAATAAAGTTTGATGTCCTACTTTTCTGCACCTAATTATGCTAATGAAGATGGACACATGCAGTATGTAACAAGGGAAAATTTTGGCAGCATGAACAAACTCTTTTTGATTTCCAACTATCAACGGCACACGCTGTAGCATACAGGGTCTCCGTTTATTGTCCCATCCTAACAACTAGACGCTTTTTCCATGTCAGCCAGCCCCTTCGACCTGCATCACTGACGGGAAACTGATTATGTTAAAATCATAACCATATTGATCATGTTAATGTTTAACAAGGCTCAAGATTTATCAAATAAGTTAAATTTTGGGTTCAAAAATGGTTTCTTCAAGGCATTTTTTCAAGCCTGTATCTTTTAATATTTTTTCATTAAAAAAAAAATGAACAAATATGAGGCCTAACACAACTAGCATATTTAACTGAGCTGACAAGAGCAGGAAGAGTAAAAGTACAGTTACCTAATGTTTCATGTAGTCTTATTTCTTGTATTAAAGTGGGTTTTTTCTGACAAACAGCTGCTACTCCTAAAACTCCATCTTGTTCATCCATTGAAACATATAGTCTCTACAAAGTCACATGAAAAAAATATCATAAATTCATCAGAGCTAAAAAGGTAAAAAAAAAACCCAAAATGAATGATTAATACTATTAAACCAAATATTTAAAAACATATTCAAACACCCATGGGCTATAATTTCTACAAGCAATACTGTTTTTAACTATTTTGATGACAAATCAAGCAGTAATTTGGGGTTGAATATTGTAAAAGCCGGAATTCTGTATGACGACATCGTATCTTTGTAAATATCACATCTAAGGGGAATCCCACTGAGGTTAACACAAACATAGTTCGAATCTATATTAACATGATGTACTACCGGTATGTGTTTTGTCTGAACAGTCAACAGTTAACATAACTGTATAAAGTAAAAGACCGGACATGCGTCTATAGGCTTTCAATATTTTACTCGGGGCTTGGTGCACTGATATCACTCGCATGCTACACACAAAAATAGGAATCCCCAAAATATAGTGTTCAAGAAAATAAATCACTGAATCAAATATGTGAAAATATTTTCTCTAAAGGCAATTGAAATTACCTGCATGAAATCTAGATGATCTTGTAGATGATGGTCACTATTAGACAGATATTGTTCAAAATGCATCAAAGCTCTAGTAAAAGCTTTACAGTTAAAACAAGCTTCAGCTAGCTCATCTTGTGGTATTCTATCTAAAAACTTAGTTACTGCTTGATAACCACCATCTTTTAAATATGCTGCCTCTATAGATACAAACATTTTAGACTGAATAACAGTTTTACATTTTACTTTTCTTTATCTAATTTTCTGCATTCAGACAGACAACACCATGTTGTGCAAGGACAACAGTATTTTTTATTTCAAGCAGTGAAGGAATCTTTATCTTTTATAGTTTTAAGCACACAAGGGTGGCACTTGATTGGAGTGTTCTGAACAGGTTCTGTATGTTCCACTTCTGCTGCCTATCCCACAGTTTTAATGCCGATATATCACACTCAAAATTTTCCAATCTATTTCCCTTTACGCCATTTTGTTTTCTGTATGCACCTACTATTTTTTCAGCACACATGGAATGCATTCTGAATTCTGTTCCAACTTCTTTTATTGAATGTTCTGTTGATTCCATAAATCCCAAATGTGCAGAAATTACCAATCAAGCATTCTGCTCTTTCAAAACTTACTATCTAGTTCAAAATGGGACACTTTTAAATATCCTTACCTTTGGGATTAGGTTTCTCAGCAGCAATAGTTTGTGCTCTATGTCTTTTCCATTTGGTTAAATAATCAATAACAGAGAATATGGTCTGAGCACTCATATGTCTGAAATCACTAGCACTACCATGTCTTGTATCAGGTTTCTTAACTTGTGTTAAAACCTCCATTATCTCACTAAATACCTGTAATATCAAAATGTTTCAAGTTTTTATCCATAAAAATTATTGTTCTTTAGTGTTTAAAAGTCAATGAATCTAATGTTTTAATTCCAAGATCTCATCAATATATATGATCACATTTGCTTTCATTTAAATAGTTTTTATCGAGCCTGCGAACAATTTTTGATGAGCAATAGCTCAAAAACCATTCATCAAAAATTGTCAAATTCAAACTTGTCCAAATGTCATCAATACAAACAATCACACAAAGTTTCATTAAAATCAGATAAAATCTGTAGTCTAAACTATTCATCAAAAATTGTCAAATTCGAGCTTTTCTCATTAAAGGGACAGGTAGGCTATTTTTTTTACCAATCATACTTTAGCCTCAGAAACTGGAATTTTTTTAGCTGAGCTAGTCAGTAATACTGTTCACAGCTCCCTTTGAAATTTGATATGTGTGTCCAGAATTATCTGCATTTGAACTTGTCAATTTAAGATACTCTGTGATATAAAGAAAAGACATATATGGAAATAGCGATTAAAATTCCTAGTTTGAAGTATTTTAAATGAATTATGTGATTTGCATACATTCCTAGTACTTCTGAAGACTATTTACATATTTTCAAGACTAAAATCAACCCCCCAAAATGGCACATCTGTAATCTGTATAAATGATCATAAAATGTTTCATTAAAAATAGATTAAATCTGTAGGCTATATTGTGCTCAGATGAAGTGTGAGACAGACCAAAATGGACGTCCACACCTCCATATGTTCAATAAAATAGAAGACACACAAACGATTTCACAAAGATTTTTACTGGTCTATTTTTAGTTGACTAAGTAGTCCTAAAGTTAGCAACTACTAAGGAAAGTCACGTCTCCTTATGGGCGCATAAAAACTATCACTGATTAGTTTAGCTAAACAACTCGCACTTCTGAGATTAGGGTTTGATATAGCGAACAGACTAAACTAGTAAAACATTAAATTGTTTACCTCATTGATATCTTTCTCTACACCATCTTGTAAAACTTGTATAGTAACATGAGGTAATATATATAATGCTACATGTATATGATATTTAATTGTAGCACTACAGGTTTGAAATACACGCTGTGCTTTAGGATGTTTCACCTAGAAATAGAATTAGTTAATGATTATGAAATGTTCTTTTATTTTGTTCATTGGTCTTTAAAAACAAATACTATATTGGAACTTCCAAACAACAAATGCTGTACAAGATCTCACTGAGGTTCTATAGCACAGTCAGTTAGAGTGTTGGTTCTTAACATGACGTCATTTGCTTGGTTACTTCGAGCAAATGGTGGCTGTGGGTTCAATTCTCGATCGGCGATGGAAAGTCCGATGATCTTGAATAAGTCATCTTCACTCATAACTACAGTCGACCCAGCTGTAAATGGGTACTGATAATCTGGGAAAGATCAATGCTAAGAGGTTTTTCCAAGGACCAGCTGGTAGAAAGGATGCTTAAATGTGAACCTAAGTTCTTATCCTTGTAAAATATAGTTCATTTCTTTCTTTCTAGCAAAACAGAGCACAATTAGCAATACAGATAAACATATTTCTGGAAATTCTATATTTACCTTAGAAATGAGAAATCCTGTCCAATTACTGACCCAATCTTTAAAATTACTGCCTTTACAACTTCTATAAATAGGTTTAGGTAGGTCTGACCAATTAGCTGCAGTATTTAATCTATATCTATAATACATCAATTACAATGTTAAGATTTTTGAGTATTCCTTGTTGAAAATTTCATTTAAAGGGACAGGTAGGCCATTTTTTCATACTTTAATACTATAGTTTTCGAAACTGGAAATTTTTTAGCTGAGCTTGTCAGTAATAGTGTTCAAATTTGAGCCTTCAAATCCATGTGTGTCCAGAATTATCTGCATTGGAATGTTAAAATTTAAGATACTCTGTGAAACATAGAAAAGACATATATAGAAAAGTGAGTAAATTTCTAGTATTTAGGAAGGAATTATGTGATTTTCTTACATTTCTAGTACTTCTAAAGACTATTTACATATATTCATGACTAAAATCAACCACCTAAAATGGCACACCAGTCCCTTTAATACCAATGAGAAGCCTTCAAAAATATGTCTACATGTTTCTTTGCAGCAGTATTAGAACAAACCTTATAACATATTTCTACTACAAGTAAACCTCATACTAGCTACTTTCAGATTAGTATGTATAATGGATACACAATACACATAATTAAAGTATGTGTATGTACCTTGAAGTCAGTAGAGGATTGAGTATCTCATGGACATGTTCTGGTAAACGCTGCCATAATTTACCAGTAATAACACCAGTCACTTTTTGTACAGCTATTTCATATTCTTGAATCAATTCTTGTAGAGCAAACGCTGAACAATCTTGTATCCTAGGTTCAGTTGCTTCTAGAAAGGACTTGACTAGTTCATTAATCAAATCAATGGCAAAGTTGTCATCTTCTATAGATGCTTGGAATTTAGCCATATCTTCTTTAGGATTGTTTGACAACAGTTCCAGTCTGAAATTTAAATAGATTAATATGACAATGGTTTGGTTTTTGCAGATTTGTCTGTGTTTCAGTTTGACAGAATGTAACATATTTACCACATTAATTCTATATTCAAATTTCTAGACAATTGGGATTGTAAAGAGGATTTCTAACTTGTGTGTACTGAGGCCACTTATGGCTTCTATTTGCATCATTCTAATTCTCTGTCAGATATGTGTAATTATAGAAATGCTTAACAGTATATTAAAAGCTCCTTATAATAACTAAAAGCCTTAGGTGAAAGCTACTTCATAAACTACTCTTGTAGTGGAAGTGAAAGACCTACAGATCTTAGATTAAAAATTTGAATGATGCATCTGATGCTATAAGTTTCCGTGATACACATAAAAAGTTTAGAAAAACACTTTACAATCTCTTTAAGAACAAGCCTTGTTTCACTTAAAGGGACAGATACGCCATATTTTTGACCAATTGTACCTTAGTATCAAAAGGGGAATTTTTTTTTAGCTAAACCAAACATTAAAAGTGTTCACAATTCACCATCGAAATTTGAGCCTTCAAATCTATCTGTGTCTAGAATTATTTGCGTATTTTCGTACATTTGTAGTAGGCCTACTAGACTACATATATTCAAGGCTCATATGATATCAACCCCCAAAAAAGGTATTTCTTCTATAATTGAAATAAGTATACTTTTGATGGATTCAAACACAACCGGAAAATCTATGCCTACCTTCCCTGATCTATAGCACCAATCTCACCAAGACATTGAGCATGCAACATTTGAACTCTAGCATCAGAATCTCTACAACCCAATAACAACTGAAATACAAACCAAGAAACTTCAATTAATAGACTTGAATAATGAGACTCTTTGACTTTTATATGGCCTACTATTGATTGCATTAATAACTTTCTTTTTCACTGCTTGATATTGTATAACTTTGGGATATTTTATATATCATGTTAAGACTATTAAAGAATATGAATATTAGCGAGATGAGATATCAGTGACTGTCTTCTAAACTCTATGGGTATTATCAACACTGATAGCATCATTTTACACAATGCCAATTTTCAGTCAGATGTCAGTAATTCTTGCAATGCCAATAAAACAAAAGATTTGAAAGACCTCACTACTGCACCAACTTTAGATATCATAAGCTTTTGCAATAGTACAGTCATAAAATGCTTAGTTATAGTCTAATTGCAGGAACCATTGAAATTGGAACGGTGCAATACTCATGAAAAGTTTAGAAAACCTCATGAAACTAGTAATCAAGTCAGAGTTGTTTTAAGATGTTAGATTACTTACCACAGATATTAATTGTGAGACAATAGGATCAGCTGTTTCACTACCCATAATATATTCATATAGTGTATCCTTAAATATAAAATAATATATATATCTTATACAAATATCTTTTTTTATGTGATTTGAGTCAAAAAAATAAGGTGTATAATTTTAATATAAATCTGCTGACTGCAACATCATTTACCTAAAACTTAGGTTTAATGTCTTCATTAAATAAATTTTAGTTTTATTCAATAGAAATATCAAGACTTCACACATCAGCAAGGCAGTACTACAGTAAACACAATCATGTCATTCACATGTTGCCCACGTGACACTTGACAGGTTTCTAAATAAGAAGGGACATAACTCTATTTATGGTGTGGCATGTTTCAACTATCCGGTAATTCGTTAAACTCCGGATTTTATCGGGAACGGAAATGTGCCGATAAACAAGGCTTCACTGTATGTAACAAATGAAAATAATTTAACAAAATTTTCAGTATTTCTTTTAATGGACTTATATATGCTACTTTTATCAAGATGCTGGTAACAGAAGATGCAGCCTGGAAGATTTCTTATTTCAGTCTGCATCCCTACTGAAGTTGATTTAAAGATATAGTTACTAACCTTTTCTTCATGTATAAGTTTACGTAATTTAGTCAAGGCATGTATTCTAACATCTAAACTTTCATGGGCTATACCCTTTAATGAATGTTCTAACCTGGTCTTCAAATCTGATTGACTATAACAAAAAATAAAAAAAATTTATGTTAAAGTGATACTTTAGAATGAACATAACATTTAAGTTCTCAAGAATGGTCAATATGAGTATATTCATCAGTGAATTTAATCAGTTGATTTAATCAAACAAACAAAATTTCATAAAATTCTGAAAAAAAACTGTCACCTCTATCCGTTCACAAGCCAACAAATTTTGATGTGTTTTTACTAAGACAAGGGCAATAACTCAAATTCCATTGATAGAAAAATCGGCAATATTATTATAAATGATCACACCAAATTTTTTTTAAATTGGATGAAAATTGTTGTCTCTATTGTGTTCACGACACATATTTCCTAAGTCAAGGGCAATAACTCAAAAGCCATTGTTTGAAAATCATTAAATTTGAACTTGTCCACGATATCGTCATTTTAAATGATCACACCAAATTTAAATCGGATGAAAATTGTAGTCTCTATTGTGTTTACAAACAAATCATGAGCAATAACATTCAAACATGTGCAAGATCTCATGAATATAAATGATAACACCGAATTTCATTAAAATCAGATAAAAACTGTAGCCTCTATTGTTTTCACAAGCCAATTGTGGACTGACGGACTGCTGAACGGAGGGACAGAAACAGGCGATGACAATATATGACCAGATTATAATGTGGGCGAATAAAAAACTTGAAATAGACACTGTGGTAACAATATGCTCCTTCATTGTAATGTGGGTGTCTAACACCAATTTTAATATTTGAAATATATTTGTGAAAATGACCTTGAAGGACCTTCTGTAAACTGTTTTAAGACAGCATTAGCATCTACTAATTCAGGTATATCAGGTAAAAAATAGATTTCATTAAAATGGGTGTGCAGTTCTTTTCTGAAAAGGAAAGAAAAAGGACATGTCATTTTGCATTTTGGCTCTATAAATCATTAGGTCATGCCAAGGTAACACATTGAGAAATACTTCCAAATTAAAATCCTGTCTTGTCCTTGAAGTTAGGATGCTATCGTGACCAATGCAATGAAGGCAAGAGGGGCTGACATGTGAAAAAAACATCTAGTTATTTGGAAGGGACAAAAAAACGAGGCCCTATGTGCTACACAAGGCTGTACACGTTAAAGATCCCTCAACAGTTGGAAACTGAAAAAGAATAGGCTAATGCTGCTGTCTTGGCAAAATTTCCCTCATTGCACTCTGCATGACGTTCCCTGTTTTCATTAGCTCACATGGTGCAGAAAAGTAGGAAATAAAACTTTATTCCTTTCCTTTTTTGACCAATGCAGTACATTTTAATCACTAACCCTTTCCATGTCAGACATTTCAATCTTGAATAATCCAGGATGGCTAGATTATTGGACTGATTAAATTAATGACTGATTATTAATTTCTTGCCTTGTGAATTTTGTTGGCAATTTGGGTTAATACAATTTGCTTTTTGTGTGTGATTTAGAACATACAACACAAGAAAGATGCAGATATCAATATCATTATTCAAATCTAATGAAAAGATTTGCAATTAAATAAGCTTTACTCTACATCAGGCCTGTGCAACCTACGGCCCGCGAGATGATTGCGTGGGACCCGTGAGCAAATGCTTTGTTTGCTTTTGCCACTGTCGGTGTGATATCGAAACCCATTATAATCCGCGCAGTTATATCAAAGTATGCCGTCAAAATGAATCTAACCAATCAAATCATTAACAAGGTCTGACCTCGTGTGAAACAATGATTTTACGTCAAATATGTCTGTTATTTGCAATGCACATTGAAATTGTATGTTTCTCATTGTTTATTCCATGATTCATTGATGGTTGGTTACATGGCCCACGACCTACTCGCATCCCTCAAATGTCCCCGCCGTTGCAGAAAGGTTGCACAGGCCTGCTCTACATTTGTTAATCATGATCAACACACTGTAGAAGAAAAATCTTACCTATTTTCTACTATCATATAATGAAAGATGTCTGCCATTTGTTTAGGTAACTGTTGTAGTAAAGGTAGCAAGGTAGCTGTTATTTGTGATAACATTTGTCCTAATAAATTGACGTCTAAACTATAAATAAATACATGTATATAATATAAATAACAATAAAATATTTTCACTGTTAAAATAGTGCTCAATACATCAATTGTAGAGCAATATAGAAAATTATAACAGAACTTGAATCATTCTGTTTTAATATTTCTGTAATATGTTCAAGCGAAAAAAATAAATAATAATAAATAATTCAGAAGTAAATACATTTAAAATAATGCAAATTCACATGATAATATATTTGTCCAAGTCTCAAAAATCTCACAAAGCGTCTAGTTGTATGGATGTGACAATAAACCGAGGCCCCGTATGCTACAGACTGTGCATGTTAAAGATCCCTCGATAGTTGGAAATCAAAAAAGAGCAGGCTTATGCTGCTGTCCTGGTAAAATTTCCCTCATTGTACCCTGCATGGCGTTGCCCATCATCATTAGCAAATCTTCATTAGTAAAACTCCATTCATTTCATTTCATTTTCAAGAATCTCACAGAATGTCAAGTAGAACTTGAGAAAAACTACAATCTATGGAGCTGCATTATAGATGTCTGCATCACTATTTAGAGTGAAAATATGACATTTAGTTTGCCTGTAATTTAAGAAAAACATACAGGTTGGCAGTTCATATTTAATATGTTGTCAATATTCTCACATGCAGTTATCAATGATTGAAATAATCCATGGTTGTTAGCTATACCCCTTCAAGGCAACCATAACAACATTCATATAAATTCATTTAGATCTTTAGCCGTATATGCTGAAATTTTAAAAATTTATATCAATGTATTACCTGTGAATAAAACAGTTCCATGCACGACAAGAATTCTCTACAAATACTGTGTCTTTAAATTGGAGACCAAGGCTGAAATATATCCGTAAAATGTTGATCCATAACCTTTTATGACAGTGAAATTATAAAGTAAAAGCCTATTTCTTAATACACCCGCTAAAATTCCAAGTACTCGCTAACCTGAAGGTCCAGGGTTCATTCCCGGCATAGGTCGAGATAATACCTTCGGATTTTTCAACCCGGTTTCCCCCTGTCAGTGATGCAGGTAAGAGGGGCTGACATGGAAAAAGCGTCTAGTCGTTCGGATGGGACAATAAACCGAGGCCCCCGTGTGCTACAGGCTGTGCACGTTACAGATCCCTCGACATCGAAAAAGAGCAGGCTAATGCCTCTGTCCTGGCAAAATTTCCCTCATCGCACCCTGCATGGCGTTGCCCGTCTTCATTAGCCCACATGGTGCAGAAAAGTAGGACTTAAAACTCCATTCATTTCATTTCATTTTAAAATTCCAAGTAGCAGCATTTCAATGATTGTGCGATGCTATAGGGTTGGGCGATATACTGGTATCACAATAAATACTGGTATAGGAATTAATATTGTTAATAATATCGTCATATTAAATAAAACTGAAATATGGTCATATCCTGTTATATGGTAATCATCATGATATATCCTAAAATATTAGTCAAGATAAGATCATCTACACAATTTTAACAAGTAACTTGGTGTTTGAAACAGATGTTTTTTTCATGATATTCAAGACTGGGGTGTTTTAAAAGATATGTATTGTTTTATGTTATATTTAAAATTTCTAGATCATAATTTTGTTTCAAAAACCAGTAAAAAACAAACTTAAAATATATCTTGATATATACCCATATCGTGATATATTAATGCATAATATGGTGATATCAACTTGAACCAATATCGCCCAGCCCTACGATGCTACATTGTTATCAGTGACAGATAACCCCATCATTAACTAAACAGAGTCTCTTCCTTCACAAGAATCTATAACACAAAAATGTGATACTTTTAAATCCAGTAATATATCCCCTCCAGATTGCCATGTGGATGTATGAAAACATAGACTAGATTACACTTACCGTAATGTATTTAGTACTTTATGTCTTATGGAACTAATATGTTTAGGTCCCATCAACCTAATAATAGCTGTTAAACTTTCTAAAGCCTTCAATAATATACATATATTATATCAAATATTAACCAATATTGAGAAGATAATTACAAGTATATAGAGATATGGAGATTTGGTGAAAAATAAGCAGATTTTTCCAAAGTGCATAAATTTGTGAATTTTAAGCTCAAAATTGCTTTTTTTTTGAAATATAGGCTTCCTTTTTATGACACAGTAAAAATTAACCAATTAATCAAAAGAAACATATCACTTGCATGCAGGACAATCATAATTTTGTTCCTTTTTAAAGCTGACACACACTCATTTATCTAGATGCTTATTATATATTATATAAACATAAACTTACCAATCTTTTATCTTCTATTATAATGTATGGATTCATCAACTGAAAATCTATAAAAGCTAATACACCCAATAACCTTGGTTCTAAATAATCAGCCTACAATATAACACAGAATAATTATATTACATTAATACTGACAAATCAATTGGGAAGTATTAAATCAGAATATAGGCCATCCAAACACCCGGGTCTATTTACAGATTTTAGAGGGCACTAGCAATGATGGGACATCAGGGGGGCCTCCCCCTGGAATATTTCTAATCGTAGGGGGACAATACAACTAACATGATTTTGGAAGGGAGAGTAGAATATATTTTCATTCTTTCTGTCATGGCACCATGACTTCTCATAAATACGCCATACGTGACATGCATAAGGTTTTCATGAATCTGTCATTCAAGCATAGAGCAGATAAATAGACCATGAAAAACATTAAAAAGAATAGATCATTTTACCATTTCTTCTTGAGAGCTTATTGTAGGTCCTTTATATTGATCATCAAACTCTGATAGTATCTTTAGTCCATTGAACACCTGGAAAAATCAAAAAATAGAAACCACCTACATTCTATATATATAATAAATAATAATGCAAACAGCTTGCCAGGCAAGGTAATATACGCCCACTGGCAGCTTTGATTTTTAAATAAAAATATTTGGCAGTACAGCAACAATTACCAGTATGAAATATTCAACCTTCAGACATACACTTCTTTCGAACTTTTTGAGGCGATACTGAATAATATTACCAAGTTTTCAAAATCCAGCAAGAATCGTGCATTTTAGTGTGTACGAGCTAAAACTTGAAGCGTTTTCAATAACTCTTCCTATTAAACATTTTTTGATTTTCAAAAGGATTTATCAATGGGTGATAATAAACAATTTCACCAAATTTCGTCAAAATCTAGAGTGTTAACAAGCTAAATTTGGACGCGTTTTCAAGAACAAGGGCAATATAAATATAAATTATTTTTCTATTTTTCTGATTTCCAATATGTGTGGTTACAATCGCTCACACCAAGTTTTGTCAAAATCCGTCACATGACGACAATATACGCCCCCCATTTCATTTCATAAAAATGATTTTGTCAGTATCTATACTTATTTATGTCAATTTTAACATAGGTTTGTGCCTTGGGGCCGCTGGATTGGTGACTTCTGCATGTTCAAGATTTATGGACAGAATGTTTAATAAAAAAAGTTGAAACAGTTCAGAATGCATTTCACATGTGTGCCAAGAAAATAGTGGAGAAGGGTGGAAAAGAAAATAGAAGAGAATGGTGGAGACAGACAGACCCTGTTCAGAACTCTCCAATCAAGTGCCACTGTAAAGATGTTAACTAAACATAGTTAGACAACAGTGACGGGCGAGATAGCTCACCTATAACAGCCTGTAGAATAAGTATAACATGGTACATGACCATTTGCATATTAACATGCCAAGTCATACATAGTATCATATACTTCTTTTCATCCTTGTAAAATATAATTAACTACTAAAAATAGTAGTCTGTAAAGTGAGCACAACCACAACTTATAGGTGAAAGGATTTGGGGAAAAAGAAAAATTAATATACATACCTCTTTATTATTGGTACCAAGATAAAATTATTATACATACCTCTTTATTATTGGTACCAAGATAAAATTATTATACATACCTCTTTATTATTGGTACCAAGATAAAATTAGTATACATACCTCTTTATGATTGGTACCAAGATATAATTATTATAAATACCTCTTTATGATTGGTACCAAGGTGTAATAGTAATACATTATGTACACGTTGAAAATCTAATCTTAATAAACTGGCTAGGTCAAACTTTGCTTCACTCTAAAAATACAATGGTCATTATATTTATGATTCATTATATCATTGAACAACAAGACACTTTTTCACATCAGTCACTGCATCACGCAAAACTAGGTTGAAAATTGAAGGTTCTACCTAAGCAGGATTAAATGACAATGTCTTTGAGAAACATTGTCCAATGTCTGTGGAAGTGCAAAGCTTTAGCAAATTAATGTATAATTGCTCTGGTTGAAACTTATTCAGCCCCTATATCTATTGTTTACCCCCACTATCTCCTTTAAAAAAACATAAAGTATCCTACTTGAAGATATTTGATAATGGTAGCCATATCTGAATCTTGACAATATCGAATTATATGTGAAAATATATATTTGGCATTATGTATTATCATCATCTTTCGATTCTGCAATATAAAAAGCATTTTTGAAAATAATTCATAACAATTCACATACCCATATAATTAGGATATCTAAAATCAGAGACTGAAATCGTTTCTAACTAAGGTGTCAGGGTTCAGCCAAAAAATTACATATACCAATCTTATTAGGATATATAAAGTCAGAAACTGGACTTATTTCAACTGAGACCAAGGTTCACAATTTAGCAAAATCTCATGTCAAATTATAGCATGAAAACTTTTTTATTTGCTGCTGTCAATGTTTCATACAGTTAAAAAATATATGCCAACACACACAATGTTCAAGAAATTTTTCTGGAAAAACAGATTTATTTGACCCCTGTTAGTCTTTATATATCGTAGACTTTAGCTTTTAGTTGCTGTAAGCAGCATGAGCACACATTTGTGTGGAGATAAGCGCTATATACATATACATTATTATTGTTTATTGTTACCAATAATTCTATAAAACCAATGTTACTTACTGCTGAAGACAAGTTGGTGGCCAATAATTTAATAATAGCAGAAGCTTCAGGTGTAGCTTTACATACTAAATGTGGTAATAAATATTTCTCACAATCCTGAAGAATAAAAGACAAGGATCTAAGAATATAACTACTATGATTTATAAAGCGTGGTATAAGTCTTCGTCTTCTTAACCTTGCATCTGACCAGTTTATAGCCACAACTAAGTAATAATAATCCGATGAAATATTTTGATATTTAAGAGTATACTACATTGTTCATCAAAGTACTATATCAAGGCTTAAATTTCAATGAATTTCAAAGATGCAAAGACAGTGACCAAAATCCATGGCAGCAATGGACATAACATAATTCAGTTATCATTGGTCAAGTACAATCACTTAAACACAAATACCTTTGAAAAGAAAATGAGCATTAGATGCGTAATAGCTGGCTTGCTATTAAAAGGAAAATCTCCACAATAAGTTCGCAAGACACAATATAAACATTACCTGTAAACATGATTTGACGTCAGGAAATCCTAGAGCATGTGTAATCTTAAATAATATATCTTCAGTTTTCAATCCTGGTGTATTTTGAGCTGTATAAAGTGCATCTACCAGAAACTGAAAGCACCATACATTCCTTTGTAAAAGATTTGAAATGAAATGAAATAAAGTTTTACGTCCTAGTTTTCAGCACCTAATTGGGTAAATGAAAACAAGCAATGCCAGTCAGGGTGCAATATGGAATATTTTGGCATTAGCCTATTCTTTTTCGAATATTAACTGTCGAAGGATCTTAACATGCAGCCTGTAGCACATGGGGTTTTGGTTTATTGTCCTATTAGAATGACCAGACCATTTTTCCAAGTTAGCTGCATCACTGACGGGGGGAAATAGGGTTGAAAAAATCTGTAAATTTTATTTCAACCGATGTAGGGATTGAACCGTGAACCTACAGGTTAGGGGACAATCGACTTATTCACTGAGCCACCACAGCTTCCTGTTATATTGGAGCTGTGAGGGAATATTATTTGGTCCTTCATCATTTTTCTAGGTTAAAACTAGTGCTGGCAAGATTTATCAGTGAATTGATGTATCGTGATATGTCATGCTATGATACGTGTATCGTGTCGCAGCGTTGTGTATCTATACTTTACGATACCTTTCATTCATATAAAAAAGTGGAGATTTCTATCAACTACATTACCAAATATCACAGTTATAATGTTATAAATTAATATAAATTTAGTAACTTTGAAGATAAAATGTTAATTTTTATCCCATTACACCATATCACGATATTTATCGTATCGTAAACCTTGTATCGAGATACGTATAGAATCATGGCATTATTGACGATTCCAAGCACTAGTTAAAACACAAGGTTGGTTACCATACCTTACAAATCTGTGCTTTAAATCTAAGAAATAAACCTTGAGGTTTACAATTCTTGTACTTGGCAACACCTTGAAGCTGAAATAACATCATAATTGTTATGACTATTCACTAATTTTAATATGATGTGCATGAAATGGTAACAAGACCTGGCCCCTGTTTCACTAAACTTTTTAAGTCCAAACTTTTCTTAAGTCTGTCTTAAGTAAGTAAAAATCTAAGATTTGCATTTCACTAATATTTCTACGCTAAGAAATTTTTGTGTAACTTACGGCAGCTATACACTATCGTAATTAAATTCTTAACTCAAGAAATGCTTCAGAATAGATGAAACTTGCCAATTTCTGTTTTGACAACTTATTAATATGAATGTCAAGGTGACGTCATTTCACGCTTCAAAATCTTACCACCATTTTCTGGAAAATTAGCAAATTTTTATCACTTTAGACCTTTTAAAAGTATTAAGGGGAATGTTATCAAATAAATTTCTTTTCTGTAAATTGTTTAAATAAAGATGTAAATTCAACAAAACAATGCTGTGTACGACGTGCATAAATGCTTCACAGCTAAAATCTTCGTATGTCTGTGAAACATGAATAAGAATTTGCGTAACATGATTGTAAGTCTAATATTTTGGCGTAAACTTACGCACTTTAGTGAAACGGGGGCCTGGTACAGACTATTTGTTAAGTACTTAACATACCTGTAAATATGCTACTGAAGAGATCTGTAATTTAGGATACAGAATACTTTCTAGTAGATATAATAATACCATTAATAATAAATCATTCTCAGCCACTCTACAATACAAAATTGATAAATACCTAACGTAAAACTAGATAAATGTATGATGGACAGCCCATTTTTTTAGTTCATTTGTGTAACAATTTGCATACCCGTTTAAAAATTTTTGTACCCTAAAGTGTAAATTGGCTTAACCATCGAGACTTTGATGACAAATTATCTCAAAACATCTCGCAAAGTATGTTACTGAAAAATACCAATGGGTAAATGATAGAAAATGAAAAAAAAACGTGTTTTGAGTTTTGAACATTCAGGATTCATGGAACCAACCATTTCCATACCATTTAATTGAGAGCTACACAAGGTTTTAGTCAAAACTCTGCACATTTCGTGTGAAAGTTGAAATTCTGTAAATACCTTCCAAGATGTCCAATAGTCAATAAAACAGTCTCCATAAGCTGTATATTATCATTTTTAGCTCTTATCAATATATCTTTTAAATATTCTATAACCAGTTTTTCTGTATCTTTATTAGATTTCTCATCAACACTATTACCATTACCAACTAAATAACATATTATACCACTGAAAATAGTTACTCAAATTTAATATGATAGAAAAAAAATACATCAAGTTCTAATACAATAAACTGAGTACCTAGCACCTTTGCTGAACACCTGATACCATCCTGTGACATGGCTTGTCAACATTGCTTTCAGAGAGTCCACATGGCTTATCACCATATGTTTAATTTAGTATATCTAATAATTGCAATTTCAGCCTGGTTTAAAGTCTTATGGTGAGCATTCAAACATAAATGATAAGCCAGCTATTATCTCGGAATTTATTGAGAAGTTCAGGTCAGAATATCATTCCATATGTTTATTATAACAATAATAATGGTGGATTACAAGCATGACATATCCAGCTTAATGTTAACTTTTCAAGATAGGTTTTAAGCCATCATTGAAGTAGGCGCAAAATATAACCAGTCACATTCAGATGACTTAAAGGACCAGGCCCGTTGGTTGATAGTTAGGCTGTCTTAACTTTAGTTGTCTGAACACACTATAATTTCATTGAACAAGACACAGCATGCTTTGAAAACGGGGTTTTATCTCTTAAATTTTGATGATCAGTCTACATTGTTAAATACCAGTCATAATGACATGACATAATCTTACTTATTCATGAACGTGATAAAAAACAAAATGGCACCCATAATTAGTGATTTCCAACATTGACACCATTTTGTTGCCTTCTGCAGGTACAAAAATTAAACATTATTATTTTCCTATCAGATCAACAATCATACCTCCATTGTGATATATAAAAGTTCATTAAAATCCCTACCTAAATTCTTTCCTGACAAAATAAGAATCATCTTCAGCCAATGTCAAACAGGTACGTAATATCGCTAGGTAAGATTTAGATTGACTTCTGGTATCAAGATGTCTAAATATTGACTTTAAACTTAATACAAAATCTGAAAGAAAATAAAGACAGTCTCATGAAACAGTTGGAATGTGACATTTGCCAAAAAGTTTTTTTTTCTTTATTTCTGTCAACCGATGTAGCTTGGATTGAAAGGGTTCCGATTCACAAAAAATATATCAACTATTTCAATTTTTAGATTTAGCTTAATAAATTTCAAATTAATCTTTACAATCATTTATAAACATCAGGCACCACTCAGCTAAAGAACAATAACTGTTCTAAATTTCAAAAACCTTCCAATTCCCAAAATTCTTACTCATTTTAGCCATATACCTACATGATGACTATACATGCTGTAGAACATCTCTATTTAGGGAATTAATCAAAAAAATAAGTTAATATACCTATTTTATTTTATTAATTTCAAATATATTAATACAAAATATTAATGTCTAATGAGTTGTTATAAATCCTGAAATGATCTTAAAAACATAACAACATAGCAATGAAGGAAGACAAAATGGCGGATCCTCAACATCCATTCGTGGTATTTTCGAAAGAAAAAAAATTCGAAATTTATTTCACTGTGTATAGTGCCCACACCTTCTGTAAGGGGCCTATTTTGGGATAAAAAACTGCGTATTATAATAGGAAATATATGGTACCTACATGATGACTATACATGCTGTTTGGATGAAGCAACATTATTGAATACAAAACTTCAAAATAAAATCAATAAGCTTACCGATCTTAACTGAGGAATCTAAATTAGGAAGGTTTTGAACATAAGGATAGAAAATGGCTGTATCTATTTCCTTTACTTTTTCTGTTTTATTTGTTATGTCTGAAAATAAATCAATTTTGGAAATTATGAAAGAATCAATGCTTAAAAAGATAAACTGCATGAGAAAATAATTTGAAAATGAACCAGAGATCCTGGCCAAGTATTTTCGAAATGATCTTAGCGCTAAGATGTCCTAGATTCTTATCTTCTAACACTGTTTCTAGGCCTGGCTCTCAGTGGTTGTTATGGCAACATCAAAAGTGTTACTTATAATGCCTGGCTTTTTGTCTTATGGATTTGACTTCTGCCTACCAAAAAAAAACGGTTCAATAAAAATATAAGCTACCTGTCTGTGAACATACACTACAGTATATTGTTGTACTATCTTCTAGCAATGATTTACAATACTTGTTAACATCCTCACTGAAATCAACAAAATTCATTTGTTAATATGTTAATATGTTAATATGTTGATATGTTAATATGTTATAAATATAAATATAAAATAAAATATTTTCACTATTTAAATAGTGTACAATATATCAATTGTACGGCGATATAGAAATATCAAAATAGAACCTAAAAAAATGTTGTTGTTACCCAGAGTTTCATCAAAATATTTTCACTGCTAAAATAGTGTTCAATACATCAATTGTAGAGCGATATAGAAATATTAAAACAGATATTAAATTAACTCTAAATATATATTATATAAGTCAAAATAATCACACATGAGCTCAAATTTCAACATCAAATCATAAATAATACTGTATTTAATCAAGTTTATATTTCCATCATTATAATGACTGGTTGTGGATGGAGTAACAGTGAGTGTTGACAGATGAAGATTCGAGCAGGAGGTATAATAGTACCTACCATGTTATAGAGGCTGTTCTAACTGATATACATGGTAATATCTTAAAACATTCTATTACACTAGATTGTATCTTATTATTACTGGACTGCAATAGTGGACTGAAAATAAAATATCTACATACAGACTACTTCCAAATTAAGCTTAAGGAATATGGACTGAATTATTCTCTTAAATCCCCTAAAGAAGGTACATTTAGTCTCTGTAACATCTAATATAGAATGAATGAATAAATGTATGTTTTCTTATACAATTCTGCAATACATCTTTTTGAAAAATGAAATTTCTCATATAGTTTCTCAAATTAAGCTTAAGAAATATGGACTGAATTATTCTCTTAAATCCCCTAAAGAAGGTACATTTAGTCTCTGTAACATCTAATATAGAATGAATGAATAAATGTATGTTTTCTTATACAATTCTGCAATATATCTTTATGAAAAATGAAATTTCTCATATAGTTATTACAATTACACAAGAAGCAATTAGTGGTCACTGATTTCAATTTCCTTCAACATGTTAATTGAAGTCATCTTTATTCAGAGATAATCCGAGAAAGATCAATGCCAAAAGGTTTGGCTAAGGACCAGCTGGTAGAAAGGATCTCAGAAACCTAAATGATAATCCATATAAAAAACTGCTGTTATTTTCTTTCTTTCTTTCAAATTGTAATATTAGGACAGAGTCTTTGGTATGTTTAGATAAAGTATTGAAAATCCTGACTCACTGTAAAAGATCTTGAATAAGGTGTAAGCTATGAACACCCAATGTTTGTATCAAGTATGGTAAATTTCTGATGGCAGCAATCTGAACTGTAATTTGTGTGTCGACAATAGCTTGTTGAAATACATGCACTCTCCATTTAGCAGCTACATCTTTTGGCATCAAAGCGAGAGCCTTTAGACAAGTACATAGAACATCTGGATCTGACAATATATTATATATAACAAGATTATCAGTGTGTTAGTACCAAAAAATTAATATTAACATTGCATAGCTTGTTTTATCAATAATCCTTTTGAAAATTTTTCAATTTGGATTTATTAACAACAGATGGTGTGGCGTGAGTTACTCGCACATCTTCATGCTTCCGAACATGTTCTGATTGTGGTAATTCTTGTTGATTGGTGAGATTGAAGATTCTCTCTGATCCACTGATTGGTGTCTAATGCTATTTTAGTTTGTCTCTGTGTGTGTGGTCTACTACATGATGCAATGGATAATAATTGATAATACTAAATGCCAGTCAAATAAAAACATTTCATATATATTATGAAGATTTTACCTAATTTCTCTGATAAAGTATAACTGATATTGGCAACATCTTTGGGTCTTGATGGACGTAGGTCTAACCATTTTGGATCATTCTGAGAAAAAAAAATAGCATGTCAAGCAAGATAGCATACACCCACTTGCAGCTTTATCAAACTTAAGACATTTGGCAGAAATGCAACAATCACAAGCAGAAACTGTTAAACCTTTATTCATACAATTCTAAAAGCACTTCAAGAGTGTCTTAATACAAAAACTCAAAATGCATTTTTAAGAGCGAGTGCGATAACTTGCAATATCATTATCTATGATAATTCTGAATTTCGTTAAATGGGAAGATTCACTATTTTGGGGGATCTAGTATACAGTCAAGTAACCTGTGTTATCTCTACAATATCAGCTACTAGAATGAATCCAGTAGTTTCAAGCAAGCTAAAATGTATTAATGTATACTTTGCCAAATACAAAATGACGGATTTCACTTATTACCAAATGTCATCAATTTTTATTGACCTATTTTCCTTATAATCTCAAGCGGTAATCGGAATTCCAAGTGTCGTCTGCTAGAATGTAGTCCAATGAATGAGGTCACTTGATCAACTAGCGGATTCCGTGTCAGCAGAAAATTTCTATGGAACACAAATTGGGCCATATTCTCATGTTGTTTCAGTGAATTTTAGCAATAAATCACGCTACGTATCTTATTTTGTCAGTCACTATTTTTTTTTTAAAATCGTGGTTCTTTGAAGGAATTGTCACTAGTTATAATGAATTGATATTAAAGATAAATACTAAGAGAAGTTAATTATACCACCCGGTATCCATACAACGTGTTTTTCTAGACTTATTTATAGATCAATCATTGTACACGAAAATAGGTGACACATTCTGCCGCCGTTGCTGAGTTGGTTGTTCATGAAATATGGGTCAAAGTGAAGGATTCATGAAAAAATTGAAACAAACCAATTTTAATTATTTCGTAGAATATCCGAGGAAATATCTAAGACATAAAAAAAAAATTCGTTTTTTTAATTTTGACGAAATTCGGTGTTGAATCTTTATATGCACGAAAATAGGATACACCACTGTATATATAGCTTCAAAATTACCGTTTCCAAAACTTGAGTACAACTGGTCGCGAACCTGACGCTTTAAGAAACAAACCAATTTTAATTATTTCGTAGAATATCCGAGGAAATATCTAAGACATAAAAAAAAAATTCGTTTTTTTAATTTTGACGAAATTCGGTGTTGAATCTTTATATGCACGAAAATAGGATACACCACTGTATATATAGCTTCAAAATTACCGTTTCCAAAACTTGAGTACAACTGGTCGCGAACCTGACGCTTTAAGATGCATCCTTGAATGATAACAGAAAATCCAAATAATCTTTTTAGGTTTAAAAAGATCAAGGCTGTGTATTGCCAATCATGCTTTGATATGATACATATCACAGTAAATGAGATACTATATATGATTAAACACTTACTGCTAACCATGGTATAGAAATCAGCCATGTTAATTCTTGTAAACACTTATTATCTATCTGTATACCATCTATAATAATACAATATACAATATACATATTAATTCTTGTAAACACTTGTTATCTATCTGTATACCATCTATAATAATACAATATACATATTAATTCTTGTAAACACTTATTATCTATCTGTATACCATCTATGATAATACAATATACATTTTAATTCTTGTAAACACTTATTATCTATCTGTATACCATCTATGATAATACAATATACATATTAATTCTTGTAAACACTTATTATCTATATGTATACTATCTATAATAATACAATATACAATATACATTTTAATTCTTGTAAACACTTATTATCTATCTGTATACCATCTATAATAATACAATATACAATATACATGTTAATTCTTGTAAACACTTATTATCTATCTGTATACCATCTATAATAATACAATATACAATATACATTTTAATTCTTGTAAACACTTATTATCTATCTGTATACCATCTATAATAATACAATATACATTATACATATTAATTCTTGTAAACACTTATTATCTATCTGTATACCATCTATAATAATACAATATACATTTTAATTCTTGT